CACTGCCGCTCGACCTGACCGGAAAAAACCGTAGCAGGAAGCTAGCGAAGTCGTAGTATATATCGTCACAAACAGAACTGCCCGGTAAACCATAGGCAGAGAGAGAGAAGAGGACAACAAACGAGGGGCTGTGACAAACTGTTTATATTGCAAGAGACTCGTGAAAAAGATTTACAGGGCATAAATTCCCTTACATAAACTTGGGCTCTGAATGCCGCCATCAAATACAACATCTCATCTTATCCGCCTAGCAATAAGACGATAAAACCAGGTAATAATATTAACCCCTCAAGCGGTTCCGTAATTCAGCAAGGAATACTATGCTGTCATAAGAGCCTACATATATTCATTGCAGGAACAGGAAACTTCGCAGCAACTTCGCCAGGCTATACAAGAGGCAGTCCACCATTTAGACTGCGCTTTTGAAGAAAAGGCACGCGAAGTGCACTTTATACATTATTATTATTCTAGAGGACAGTTTATATATTTTCAACGCCACCATCATCAGCACCTGCTAAACACATACAAACATTAAGTCAACCCTCATTACTCCGCCGTCGCTGGTATGGCCCGCCTACAAGTTACAGCGGGCAATCTTCACACTGCCCATCGTCGCCATTCTGTGTCCGATCAAATGGGAGAACCATCCCACTCTTTGCAGTCAAAAGGAGCATCCCTCCGGCCCGCTCTTTGCAGGCACAAGGAGCATGCCTCCACATCACAAATAAATAGCTACTGCACTGTGAAAACGTCATATACTGTGCTGTCTTCATCGCCCCCAGAGCGCAAACAGACAGATACTGCTCTGTGAAAAAGCCCCCGTACTGTCCTCTCTCTTTCTCACAATGACGTTCCTTTCCCCTAGCCACCCAGCTAATTATGCCACGGCGATCAAAGAGCAAACAAGCAGCACCCAGCACGAGTGCACTCAGACAGCTCTCGCTCCCAAATAGCCAAATAGCCATTCCACATGGCAAATGGGTTTCCACATAGCCATATCCGAATAGCGCCTTCCCTCCTCAGTAACCCCTGCCCTCTTCTGCAGGGCAGCAAGCTGTCCATCCCTACAGGCACACTCCTGGTGGGCAATGGAGTACAACGGTGCAGCGGAGGAACACCCCATCATAAACTCTCCCCATGCCACCAACGCAAGGACAGAAACCGTCGTTGGAATCCAGCTGGCACATCCGAATGGTAAGACGTGTGCTTCCTCTACTGTCGCATCCACGTGGCAAGACAAGGCTTTTCCACAACACCGCGCACAGAAAGAACCACCAGGATCGACTGTACACACACCACTCAGACGATCAGAGTCAGCTTCCTTGGAGTGCAGCTGCGGCATCCACAGGGCAAGACAGCTATACATCGCTCCATGCACGCAAGGTACACATGTCATGGAGATTTACGCAAGGTACACACGTCATCGAATCTCCGCATGCAACGGTAGTCAGACGAAGACAGCCATCTTCGTTCAAATCCAGCTCGCACATTTTCATGGCAAGATATGCGATACCTGTGCTGCCACATCCACGTGGCAATGCAGTGGCAGCTGTAGCGACACCGATAAACGACAGCATGGCCATGATACGTACGGACGGTCCACTGCCATCCCCACAGCAACCCCACCACGGCCAAGTGAAGCTGCCTCTTTGACAATCCCCTGAGAGAGGGGAGAGCATGGCAAGGCACTTAACATAGGGAGAAGAGAGAGAGAGAGAGGCACAGAGAGAGAGAGAGAGAGTCTCGAACAACACATGGCCAATGGGGTCCACTGCGCCCAAGCAAAGCAGTTTGTACTTGTTCTTGCACCCATTGTGCAACTATTTCCTTTGCCATCCCCCGCACTCCTTTGGCTCAACTGCCAGCATCAAGCTCCATCAACCGCAGAAGCTGAAGCACCTGCGCATGGTCAGATCTACGAAGTTCTGCAACCCTTGAGCCGAGGGCCATCCTTACTCGAGTACAGATCCTTGCATCGAACCTGGCAAGATGAATGAGCGAACCAACTGCCAGACTCCAAATCTCCCCTTGATCGCCAACAACGCCACCATCAACCGATGGATTCTCGTCGAGAAGAATCGTCACTGCACGAGCAATCACAGCCGCTAATTCCTCTGCAAGCTCTTGCCGAACACCGACGCCTTCGCCGCCGCCAGCATCGAGTATGTAGTCAATATCCGTTTTGGGAAACACAGCTCCATTAGAGAGAAGCGAGAGGATGAGGAGGTCAATCTTGTCCTTCAGGACTCTGGGATCGCCCGCCACCGAGAGAGCTCTCCATTCGTTCTCCAAAACTTTCCCTACCCTGAGTAACTTCAGCAAAGCCGATCGTTGAACGCTCTCAGCAGGGAAGAATGGCTCGACCGCCCAACTTCGGCCTGTAACAAGCAAGCCGTGCAAGGCCCAGGCGGCGCGAACGGACACCGCAGAGCCCCCGGCAGCGGCAGCAGCAGCAGCAGCCGCTCCTCCGCTGAGCGAGTTCCCCAATCCACCTGCCGAACCCTCCTTGAGTCCCTCTTTGATCTCCGGTCCAATCACGTCTAGAGCTTCAACCAGACCTGTAATGCATGCGGTCTTGACATCGTCTCTCTCCTGAATATCGCGAATTCCTTCTGAGCAGCGAACAAGCGATTCCGCGATGGCCACCTTCGCAGTGGCTGATATCCCCGAGGCCATACCAGAAGTCGGTCTCAGCAGCCTCATCAAGACCGGGATGCCGTGCCCAATTCTCAGCTTCTGACGGAAAGAGTCGTCCGTGGTCAACACCCAAATCACCTTAGCAATGGCATTTCTTCTCCGCTGACCGCCGCCTCCTCCTACTCCTCCCACTCCTCCTCCTGCTGATGCTGATCCTGATGAGGCAACCAATGATGTTCCGGGCCACCCCGACTCCGCGAGACGCAAGAGAGTGTGAGTGCGGACGAAAGCGTCTTCGCCCGCAAAGACCCCGACCGCGCATCCCCACCTCCACCCGCCCACCGCTTTGAGACTAGAGATGACCTTCAACAACGACTTGGCAGCAATGTCAAGAAGCTCGCTTTCGCCTCTTTCGCCGACTCGCAAGATCTCCATCAACGAATCAATGACGCGTGTGAGCTCCGAAGGGGTGGCATCGCCGGCGCCCCAACTCCACCTGGAGCCCTCTTGACCCACCGTCATGACACCCATCATCCCAGGCATAAATTCTGCACCAAACCACGATCCAATCACATCCGCCGCCAGCACTTGACACGTGGCAGGCCCCCAAAGCATGATCCTTGCCATCAATTCGTAGGCCTGATCGCCGAGTTTCCGCGGACTGAGCTTGCCCTGTCGCGCCAGCCTGGCAATCGAGTCCATAGCCATGACCTCGTTCTTGCGCAGCGATTGAAATCCGAGCCCTACATCTCCGATCCCATCGCTCTCCTGAAGGCCCCGCTTGTCGAGCTCGGATCCCGGCGCAATCAAGTGAACAATGTTCACCAGCCAATGAGCTTCTTCAAACCAGAAGGCCGGCAGTCCACACTTCTTCTTTTCGGCGAAGCACGTGGCAGTCGAGAACGCCTCGTGTCTTCGCAAGTGGACATACCAGACCACCTTCGCGAAAGCCTCTTCCCATACGTCTATCAACCCGTAATTCAGAGCATTCGCATACAGACCCAAAGTCACCCCCATTCCGAGAGACACTCTCTCGAAACCCACCGCACTAACCGCAGCCCGTGCTCTCTCATACCCAAACTGCCGAGCAATCTCTCTAGGGACGGGGGGGAAGGCGAAGACAATCTCCATCCACAGCGCGACGGCGGCCAAAACAATTTGAATCGTCGTAAACGCCGCCCCCGCAAACAGTGTTTCCCTTCCTCTATGTTTAGTCGCTTTCTCTCGGGAGATGGCAATCCAAAGCAGCACCGTCAACAACAAATGAGTCCAGAAGCCCGTGAAATGCAGCAACCAGACGGGTACGACCGACTTCGCATCCCACAGCCTTCGCACACCTATGTCGGCACAAGGCACGTTACCCCAGAAGGCTCTCTCTACCATCCACCTCGCCCATTTCACAAACAGCTCCTTGCAGAGGAGAACCACGAAGACCCAGAAGAGGGCCGGTCTCGCATTATTCACACCATTCCAGAAGGAGACTAGGATCATTAAGATTACAAACCATCCGCATGCTGCCTCCGCTCGCTCTAATAATATCAGCGTTTCTATAAATTGTTTGTCCTCAGGAACAGGGGGGTCCAGTTCACTAGCCTCAAGCCACGACCGCCGCCACTTATACTTGGTATTCCACCTTCCACCCAGCCAAATGCCGTCCTTCTGGTTGCTATTGCTCATCATGGCGTCCTCAGAGGGGGGAGGTCTGAAATCCGGTCTAGATGCAGACGGAGCGGACCCCCCCTTTGGCATTTGCCGAGCCGGCCCATTACTAGCAGACGCACGAAGGCCACCCCCCCCAGATTGCGCTGCAGGCTCGGAACCAGCCCTCATCCTACCCCCCTCCTTATATCCTACCCCCCCTTCTTATATCCTATCCCCCTCCTTATATACTACCCCCCTCCTTATACC